GTCCCTAGTCGCGAGCTACTCGCACGTGCACCACCTCGTCTGCGCGTGCCCCACCCGCAGGTCCCCCAGGTATGCCTCCCCAGGCTCCCATGCAGGGCATGGGACTGTCGCGCGGGCCGCAGTCGCGGGCGTTCTGCTATCGCCTGTGCGACGCAGCGCTGGTCCGTAGCGCGCTGGCGGAAGTCATGCGCCACTAATCTGGCGGGGCGGGTTGGGCAGCACGTAAGAAGTCACGTCGGCCGTAGGACATTCGGACAGCACAGATGCCTCTCCCCCAGGCATGCCCGCTAGGGCCCCCACGCAGGGCATGAGGTTTTCAACGTCAGCGTCGTACTTGAGAGAGGCTGCACGCAAGCAGTTGGTCGCATTGTAACCAGCTTGCCGAAGGGGCATCAAACTGACCAGTTGCGATGCATGCAAAAGTATGGCTTATCTATAGCGGCGCGCGTGGTCGTTGCGGCCTGGTGCCGTGCGTATCCTACCATTGTCTCCGTAGGCGCGCGAGGTATATCGCTTCCGTCCCAGTGCGAGCCACGCAAGACAAGGAGTGTCGCCACGTGACCATTGTTCGTGTTAGCACAGCTATGTGGGCATGATCATGATAAGCAGATGCCTGACCAAATAACTGTAGCAACCTGGAGCTATGTGAGCCATATGAAAACTAGAAATCGCATGCCCATGGATTTACCATGTCTCCATTGCGCATGCCTCTCCCCAGGCGTGCCGAACTGGGCCCCCACGCAGGGCATGAGGCTGTAGCTTGCGCGGGTCGTCGACGCGGACGTTCTGATGTGCAGGCGCAGCGCAAGCTATGTCTGATGCGCTGGTGGAGGTCACGCGCTTGGAGTCGGGTGGAATGCTGGGTAGCATGCGAGGTCGCGTCGACTGCGGCACGTTGGCCAGCATGGCCAGCACTGGCGCCCCCCACCCCCCACCCCCCAAGGCATGCCCGATGGGGCACCAACACACGGAATGAGGCTGACAGCCCAAGTCCTCGCGGATCGACCTGCGAAAAACTCTATGTGGACTCACGCGCTGCCACTGCGTCGGGCCACTATGCGTGCGAGAAATACGATGTCGATCCCTGCTTGCAAGGCCCTGGAAGCATTGCTGCGCGCGATATCTGAAACTCGAGCGCGCGAAGCATTCACCTCACCACCACCACCCCACCCCACCCCCCGTGCGCAGCGCATGCCATGGGAGCTGCAGCATAATAAGCTGCACGTGCTTGCACGGCCGTGCACGGCACGTCGCATTACTCCTTGTCGATCAGCGAGTAACTGTTGACATGCGCGCCCTCAACCCCGTTGCCCCCCAACTCCAACGCCCCCCGCCCCCCCCCCCCCCCCCCCCCCCCAGGTTTGCCCCGTGGGGCCCCCATGCAGGGCATGAGCTTGTGTCTGTCGTAGTTGTCGTTAACGTATGTATGATAAGACGCGCTGCTGGGATGTGCTGCAATGTTCAGATTGTGTTGGTAGGTCATTAGGTTGGGTGGCCGTTTGCCGCTGCTGTGCGCTGCGGGTCAATTGCGCTGTCAGTTGGGAGTACGTTGTGGCGAGATGATTGGTTGTAGCTTGTGTGGGTGCTGGTGATATGGCTCCTCGTTGTGAGGTCTTCTATAGACATGGGTCGAGTGCCAGGTATCCTTGCGCGCCCCCTGGGGCATGCGGGGTTGGGAAGCGCGCTAATCTGTCTGCCATGCACGCGGGAACCTGGTAGGAGATTGCAGCAGCCGCTGGCTTCGGATGGGTAGCCCCATGGGTGAGCCGTACAAGTGCATATGTTGCCATTGTGCGTGAAGCTGAATGTCTCTGCAAGCTGCGGGGGCTGCTAGGTGCGCATTTGCGCTGCGATCTGGTCGCGGCGGCCCAGCGTGCACAGGTCGAACGCACTTCGCCGAGCAAGGCTGTGTAGCTGGTTGAGCCGCGGCGCTCCAGATGCCACTTGAGCTGCACGGCGCTCCAGATGCCATTTGGTGTAGCTGGGCTCTGCTCTGTTCGGTCTTGGTCATCAGTATGGCTGCTGCATTGGCGCGCTGCGTCGCTGCTAAGTAGGGTTGCGTTCTGCATTACGCGGTTAAGACTGCGCGTTCCAAATAGCTGCGTGGTCGATCCGTCGCGGCACCCACAATATGCACGGTTGCGGCGTCGAGTGTCACTACGACTAGTCAGGTCGCCGCTGACTGCTATGAGTGCTGCTACTTCGCCATGGGTGATGATATCCATCCATGATTCAGCTGTGCGCTGGCGGGCTAAGTCGTAGCTTGTGTTTTCTGATGTGTCGATGCTTACGCGCGTGCATTGTCTTGCAACTGGATGTTGCTCACGGCTGCGTTGTAGGTCATTGGCATGCCTTTGTATGCTGGCTGGGTCGCAGAATGTCCTCAGGGAATACATGGTGGTTGCTGGGCGGCGCCTTGGACGTTGACTGCGTGCATGTAGTCGTCGTTGGTGGGTCGGCATGGTCGGGTCGGTGCCTTTGCTGCAAGGTGTAATTTGACGGTACAGTAACAGGTACGGTCGCGGCGCGGCGTCGTAGACCCTTGGCGCGGTCGCCCTTGTCGTCCTCCTCGAAACGCATTGCTGCTAGCTCTGGTGTCGTCATGCTGGTAGGATTCTGCATGCAGCGCCGGTAACATCGCGCGACTCGGTATTTGAGGTGCGCGAGAAGCCGCTGTCTTGCATGGAACTGCTTGTTGCGGCACTGGCAGCTGTCGTCTCCTACTTTGCGTTGGACGTTGTCGGCCTGTGGGTGTTTTTGGTTCGGTCGATCTTCCCTGCCGTGATGGTCCCAGCTGCGTGTCCGCATTCGCAGCACACGTAAGCTGTGTCCCGCGGTGGTGGGATGCGTTGCTGGGACGTGCTGTTGAAGCCGAGCTGTTGCACCCTCTGGGCCCAGAGTGCTGTGCTGAGTTGGCCGCTGCACGTAATGTGCATCCTTTGTTTTGCCTGTTCGACCTGGTTGCGGAACTGATTGGGCGCGTCGTGGGCGCAATGTAACCGTCTCTGCGTGTCCCAAATGTCCCCGTGGGTCGTCGGCAGTGGTGGTGGGCTCCGTCATCCATTTCAGGTCATCTTTGGTAAGTTCGATTCATGTATGCTGGGTCGTTAGGGTCTGGTCGGCTTGTGCATGCTGCTCGTGGCATAGGTCGATGGGTCTGAGTAGTACATGTGGTCCGCTGGGGGGGCCAATGTTGTTACGTACTTGAGACGTCGTGGTGTGAGCTCAGTGGAATAGTCGGTTCTGTCTGCATGTAGTGTATGGGACGTCGGCTTGTTTAGCCTTTGGAGGTGTTGTTTTTGGGCTGCGCTGAGCTATGCTTGGTTGCGTGCTGATTGAATGCCATGAGGATGCTATCAGATGGTGGGCCCCACGTCTCCGCTTGGTAAAACCGAGGGCAGTTGGCGAATGCGTATGCCAGTCTAACTGTTGTCTCTGTGCGCAGGCGCGTGTTATTGAAGTGTGTGGCCTTGAGTGGCATGAGTGCTTCACTTTGTTTGGTGGTCTGGTGGTATGCTCGTACTGTGGGGCTGTTTTTGGGGTCGAAGTGGTGCCTAAGTAGTCGTTAGTGTGCGTAATCGTGATGTGGATGCCCCATGTGGGGCAGTAGATGCTGGTGTCTGCTCGTGTGGGAAGTGGTTGTTTTGCTTGTACGGTACCTGGTCCTGCAACGTGCACTGTGATAGCTGATTTGCGTGGCGTGTACTTCATTTTGAAGCCGTAGCTGGTGAGGGTGGTGTAAGTGTGTCCGTGGCTAAGGGTGCCATGTAAAGTTCCAGTAGGTCCTTGTCCGTGCATTGGCCCATGATGCGAGTATCGTCTACACATGCAATGTTGGTTGCGTAATCGTCATTCGTGGTGTTAGTCGTTTGGAATGTTGCGAGCAGTGGGTTGCGTGGTGTGGGTGGTGGTATTGCGTATGGTTTGCCGTGAATGTTGTTGGAAAGCTCGTCACAAGGGGTCTTGCGAAAGATCAGTTACAGATCGCGTCGGCTAGACTGTTGCCGGGTCTGGTGCCTTTAGTTTGGCTTCGCTGTTATGCTGGAGCACGTGCAGGTGAAGTGTGCTGCTGCTGTAGGATTCGATGAGTTGCGCTGCTAAATGTTGGTCGCATTGGTGTTTGTCGAGCATGTCTGGTTGTGCTAGTATCGTTTGCACGAGTGGTATAAGGACAGTTGGGAAGTCGCTGTTGTTGTAGTAACTGGTTCGCTCGCTGTGGCTTGTGGTGCTAAATTAAATACTGTCTCCCCTACCACTTTATGGAAGGCAACCGCAGGGTCGATATAGTACCTGATAGATGTGGTGCTGCGGCTCTTGTTGCAGCTTGTGGCCAGAATGGCTGCGCGAATGATGTCGATCTTCCCGCAAGTCCTCCACACCGTGTTGGGAGTAGCGTTTGTTGCAGTAGTGATGTCAGGTTCTGTCTGAGAAAGGCGTAGTGGAGCTTGGGCATTTCTGAAGCAAACAATATAGATCTGTGTTGAGCTGCTTTGCTAGTGGTGCCGTTTTTTCCCTTATGTCGTGGTGCTGCTGTTCCGTGCTTCCAGATGAGTGGTTCTTGCTGGTTAAGTGATGTTTTGAGTAGGAGCGGGTGTATGTGCCTGGCTATGATTGTAAGTACTGGTTTCAGTAGGTCGGTTGTCACTCGGTCTAATCAAGGTTGTTTGCGTCGTTTTACTTTTCTGAATCCTCCTCCTCCTCCTCCTCCTCCTCCTCCTCCTCTTCCTCCTCCTCATCCTCCTCCTGATCCTCCTCCTCCACCACCTTCTCCTCCTCCTCCTCCTCTTCCTCCTCCTCTTCTTCCCTCCCCACTCCCTCCTCCATTCCTTCCTTCCCTCCCTCCCTCCTCCCTCATTCCCTCCCCCCCTCCATCCCTCCCTTTCTCCTCCATCCCTTCCCTTCCTCCCTCCCTCCTCTCTCACTCGGCCCGCTCAGCCTCCCCGCGCCCTCCAGTCGCCCCCTCCAGCCCCAGCGCTGCTGCCGAGAAGGGAGGTGCGCGCCAGCTCGACGTCCAGGTGAACGCCCAGCGGGGCCTCCCATCAAGTCTGGCCCGCTCGAGCAAGACGCGACGGGGTCGCGTCGCAATCGCGCGCTGGTCTCTGACACCGCGTGGATCGCTCGAACCTGGACGATCGCAGGCTTTCCGATTGCGCAGATCGTTCGATGTCGGCTGACTCTGGGCGACCAGCGAACCTCAAGGCTGAACGCCCGCGTCGACGCGTCGCGACCCTGCCGCATGCTGCACTGGCCCCGTGAGGAAGAAAGTGGAGGCGGGCAAGAGAGCGCTGGGGGGAGAGCAAATGGAGGACCAAAAAAGATACGACGGTACAATCATCGTGCTACCAGTACCATGGTGAACGCCAAATAAGTAACGAAGGGGCGTTTCTGGCCACGGCGAGCCTCGGCCACGACTAGGTTCCCAGACCTAGACCGAGGGACCGAAGGAACGGTCCGAAAGTGGTCCCTTTCAGCGTCTTGACTGCGAGAGTAAAGAGCCAACCAGAGCCCGTCGCCTGCGCGCGGAGCGCGACAGGGGACGGCGCCAGAGGCGCCGCCAGCAAGGCAGCAGGGAAGCACTTACCAGACGGAGGCGGGGGCGATCCCGGCTTGGTCGAGGCTGCCTCCTCGAGGATAAAAAACCCGAACCAACCCTGGGGAGCTCCCTCATTCTTGGTCTGGTTGGGGCTCCGCACCCCCTGACCATGGGAGGTGGGGGGGAGGGCCTAGCGCCGACCCGAGAAACCAACGCGGGCCTCCGAAAGGTGATGCCGCTGCCGTTGTGGGTCCTCGAGCTCAGGCGAGAGGAGGGGGGGAAGGCGCTGAGGGAGGGAGGCGCTGAGGGGGAAGGCGCAGAGATGGAGAAAGCACGGACGCGCCCTCCCCTGGCGCGATGCTGGCTGCAGCCGCGTGCCAATGCTGCACGGCCGTTCCTGCAGCGAGCGCTTGCGCCGCGCTCTCGCGCCGGAGCTGGGGGCAGGGGCAGGGACTGCCCCAGAGGCGGGCATCGCACGCGTCCGACCACGAACCCCTTGTTGCCCATCCGCCATCTGCGGTGAGCAGCGGTGATCGACGGTCTTTGGTGGTACTCGCCGGTCTTTGGCGGTGTTCGGCGGTCCTCCGCGCAGAAGCTGGACGGTGAAGTTCGGCATAGAGGTCCATAGTCTAACGCCGAAGGAACTGAACCGCGGCGGACTCTGGAAGCTCTCGGCGGGGCGCCCTGCGGGCGTCTCGTGATGCTGGATCGCCGGTGGCGGTCTCCTGGGCAGCCTGCGCGAGAATGCTGGATGTCAGGGGCGGGTCTCCCGTGCAGCCTGCTCGAGGAGGGAAAGAAGCCTGGTCTAGACGGCGCAGGGAGCCAAGACCCCTCCCTCCTACATCATACTCCTCATCCTCCTCCTCCTGTCCTTCCTCCTCCTGTTTGCTGCAGGCAGGGACCCGCAGGGCGCTCCCCACACCCTCGTGCCCTGACCCTGCTTCAGTGCTTCGGCGCTCGGGATCCGGAGCTCCCGACCCCGTCCCGAAGACCGCCTGCGGCATCAGAACCCAAATCTGTCTCAGCGGCATCAGAACCCCACCCCTCGTCCGGAAAATGTCTCTGCGGCGACGCAAACCCCGCCCCCCCTCGACAAAACGTCTTGATATGTGCGTGACGTTGCAGATCTGGGCCTGCTCCCTTCCGCCAGACGACGAGGTGAGGCGCGGGGCCCGATCGAACATGTTTGGTCCCCGGCGAGCTGAGTCCGACAAGAGGTCAGGCTAACGGCAAGACGCGCCCGTAGCGCATTACGGCGAAAGCAGAGGAGGGCACGAGCGGAGGAGGAAGCGGCCCTGGAACGGCCAGGGAGCTCTCGGACCATATCGATCTTCAAGCGGCGCCGGAGGTCAGGTTCATGATCTCGACGACGGCGTAGCAGGAGAGCGGGGCCCGATCGAACAATCCACGACGAGGGTAAGCGGGGACGGAGCCGCGGCCAGGACAGTCACGGTCGAACTCACGGAGCCCGACGGCGCACGGGCATTGTGCCGCCGAAGGCCCCGTGCGCACCTCGGCCTCGCTTGCAGAGATCCGCCAACGCCGACGACGACGATGACGACGACGACGACGCCTTCGCCCTCCGCACTGCATCATCAACAACATCAACATCAACATCATCATCATCATCATCGTAATCATCATCATCATCATCAGCAGCAGCATCAGCATCATAATCATCAGCATCACCATTATCGGCATCCTCCTCCTCAGCATAATCATCATCAATATTATCATCATCATCATATTCATCGTCACCATCGTTGCAAACATCATCAGCACCATCATCGTCACCATCAACATCAACATCATATCCATGATCAACATCGAAAACACCATCAACACGATCAGCATCAGCATCATCAGCATCATCATCAGCATAATCATCATCATCACCACCATCATCTTCATCAGCTTCGTCATCAGCATCACCATTGTCATCAGCATCGCCATCGTCATCACAATCAGAATCACCATCCTCAACATCATCAGAATCACCCTCGTCGTCATGGTAGTCATCGTCGTCGTCGACGTAACCATCGTCTTCATCACTAGCAGCATCATCACCACCATCACTAACATCATCATCATCAGCAGCAGCAGCACCCTCGACATCCTCGTCGCCAACAGCATCATCCTCATCCACAAAACCTTGGCACGGGCGCCAAGCGGCCCGGCGCGTCGCGCCGCGACGACGGGTGCGGCGCTCGACCCTGGCCGCGCGCAACGGTGCCCCGAGCTGAAGGTGGCTCGGGCACTTCCCTGCGTCGTCGGCCCAGCCGAGCGCCCAAGCCGAATGGCCAACGAGAGAGCGGTGGGCGGGCAAAAGCCGCACCGCAGGTGCCTCTCGCCGAGCATGGCGGGACACCCCCCACCAGCCGCGCGCGCGCGACGCCCCTCCCAACCCTGGGCGGCGCACGCGCCCCCTCGCACGCTCGCCCATGCAAGCAGGGCGGCCTGCGCGACGCCTCGCGCCCATCGCCTGGGCAAGCGTCGCCCCGCGCCGCTGCGCGTCGCGCGGCGCCCCTTCCCGTTCGCCCAGGCGCGGGGGCCGGGGTGGGGGGCGCCCGCCCAGCGCTTTCGTGACCGCGATTCAACGTTGCACGATGATCGCCCACCACAAAACCTTGGTACGGACGCCAAACGGCTCGGCGCGTCGCACCGCGACGACGGGTGCGGCGCTCGACCGTGGCCGCGCGCAACGGTGCCCCGAGCTGAAGGTGGCTCGGGCACTTCCCTGCGTCGTCGGCCTAGCCGAGCGCCCAGTGCGAACACCCAATGCCACGGAGCGCTGGGCACTCGGCGGGAGGCCCAGCCGCGCGCGCAACGCGCGCGCAGGCGCAGACCCAATGCACGCGCGCCGCCGGAGCGCCAGCGCGCGCGCTCCAACCGGCAAGATTCGCTAACACTTATCTCTACACGTCGATGTCGGAAGAACAAGTGCCCCTGGCCTCGAGGGTAGCGCCCCGCTCGAGAGACTCTACGGGCAGATACTCTAAGAAGGCAGCGCTCCGCCAGCCGCCCGCTCGAAGTATCTCGGCCAGGCCTGCCCCGCGCTCGGCTAAGTCGAGCGCGTGACCGCGGCGGAGCGCCCACGCGTCGAATTCCTCCGGGCGCGCTTCGCCCACCGCTCTGACAGCAACCCGGATGGCGGCCGCGGCTTCCGCGGGAGAGAAGCACGCGAAGGCCTGCGCGCCTACGCCCGCTTGCTCAAAGAAAGCACCGAGGACACGCACTGGACACGTGCCTTTGCCGCCCTCGGCATGGCACCAGCACTTGCGCCAAATTGTCACAGGCCGTTCCGAATTCCTGCGCCGCTGCAATCGCACACCTAACGCCTCTGCTGAGAGGCGCACCGATGCCCGGCGCTGCACGTTGAACGCCGAGCCATCGAAGACAGCTGGCAAGCCCTCACTTGGCAAGCGCAACAGGAACGCGTAGCCGAAGCACATGAGCATCGCCACGTCTCTTCTGACAGACGCGGCCACCTCGCCGGCGATGCTCGCTTCAACGATTCTGGACAGGAGGGCATGCTGCACAAAACGTTTATCTCGGGGTTGTCGGGCACCTCTTCGCGATGCCCAATCGCGCCCGCTTCACGCTCCGATCACCGAAGGCGGCCGTCGACACCGATAACAGCTCTGATGCCGCGCGCGAATGCCTGCAATAATTTGCGAACGTGCCGCTCACACGAAAAAGCGCACTGGCGATCTGGAGGTCCTCCGCGCTGATGGGAAAAGGCGAATCCCGCCCAAGGACGCACTTTGAGAAGCGCAACCACCAACGCACTGCGGACGCCCAGCTCTGCACCGAACGAGGACAGCTGCCAAACACCGCGTCCAAGCGCGCCCTCATGGCACAGCGCCGGCGTTCGGCCGGGCCCATTACAGCGACGCCGTCGAGGGCGCGACGTGGCCCCTCACTGGGCGCGCCCAATTGATTCGCGTACGACACAGCATACTCAACCACGGCCTCGACCGCTCCTCGAGCTCGCGAGCCCTCCGCAGGGTCGCCTTGCGCGCCGCCGGGGCACAACGCCTCGCACAATTCTTCAGGCGCCGCCAACCCAGCTTCGCCCCCGCGCTCCGGCCGCCATCCAGGTGGCGGGCCCGGCGGAGGCCGCGGGCGCACTGCAACGCTCTCACCACTGCCTGCGGGCGGAGGGCCGGGAGGAGGACCTGGCCTCGGGCGGTCCTGCCTTCCACCATGCGCCGCCAAGGCCCCGGCGGCAGGGGGGCGCGCGGGTGACGCTGCTTCAACTTCGCTGCAGCGCTTGCACCGACCGAAAGAGAACCCTTCGAGCGCCGGCATGCCCCTCTGTATCCTCGCCTCGCTGATGGCCCTGAGAGCGCAGCCACAACGCACGGCGGTGAGCGACCCACGGGCGCGCCGCCTGGTTATTACATCGCTGCTGCGCGGTGAAAGTTGAGGCCGGCTGAAATCGGCGTCGACGTCTGCCAAATGCTTCCAGTGAAGCACATCCTGTGATTTGAGAAAAACGACAAGATTGACATAAAAGGCAAGCGGCTGGCGCCGCAAATCGCTCACCCGAAGCCAATGGGCGAAGATTGACGCGTCTGACATCTCCCCGCACGTCTCCGCGCTGCGAGGCTTGCCAAAAGCCGCACCGCAGGTGCCTCTCGCCGAGCATGGCGGGACACCCCCCACCAGCCGTGCGTGCGCGACGCCCCTCCCAACCCTGGGCGGCGCACACGCCCCCTCGCGCGCTCGCCCATGCAAGCAGGGCGGCCTGCGCGACGCCTCGCGCCCATCGCATGGGCAAGCGTCGCCCCGCGCCGCTGCGCGTCGCGCGGCGCCCCTTCCCGTTCGCCCAGGCATGGGGGCTGGGGTGGGGGGCGCCCGCCCCGCGCTTTCGTGACCGCGATTCAACGTTGCACGATGATCGCCCAAAACAACATCAGCATCGTGATCCGTTTTACCACCACCCTCACCATCACTATCACCATCAGCATCATCATCACCATCATCGTATTTATCATCATCATCATCATCATCAGCAGCAGCAGCAGCATCATCATCATCATCATCATCATCATCATCAGCATCATCATCATCATTATCATCAGCATCATCATCGTCGTCGTCACACCACCAACAATAGTATAATCATAATCCTCATCATCATCATACCACCAACCACGGTTCCGCACGCTCCTCACATGTTTCGTGGCCCCATAGGGAGCTCCACCGAAGGCCCCAGCGGCAGGGTCTGCAGCATGCGTCCCTCCGCTCGTTTCGGCACACACGCACGTTTCGTGGCCCGAAAGGGAGCTCGTGGCAGGGTCCGCATGCGTCGCCCCGCTCGTTTCGGCATTCCCCTCACACGCTTCGTGGCCCCATCACCACAGGCCCCAGTGGCAGGATCCGCATGCATCCCCCCGCCCGCTCCGGCACGCCCCTCACACGCCCCGTAGCCACGTAAGGAGCTCCACCATCCGAGGCCCCAGTGGCAGGGTCCGCAGGCGTGCCCACGCCTATTTCGGCACACCCGTCACACGTTTCGTGGCCCCCATGGAGCTTCATCGAAGGCCCCAATGGCAAGGGGATCCCGCTCGAGACTTCCTCGCAGTTCGCTCACACACGAGGCCTCCCTCCAGACAGAAACTCGCCGAGGAAATATGCGCGTGTGCGTGTGCGTGTGCGTGAGTGTGGTGCCTGTCGCCCCACGCGCTCGCACCGGAACTGCGCCCGCCCGCCGCCGCTGCCTGCCCCGCCCGCGCTGCCCGCTGCCCGCAGCCGCCCCTTCAGGGCCTGGCCCGCGGGTGCCCGTCTGGCGCCGCCGCCCGCTGCTTCCCACCGCTGCCCGGTGCCCGCCGCCCCCCCCACCACTGACCTGTGAGGGGCCGGCGCCTCCCCCCTTTCCACTTGTCGGCCCTCCAGGGTCGAAGCTTGGTAGCCTCACTCAGCGCGACTTTGACTCTTCGAGCGTTCGAGAGGCTTCCACCCCAGCTGCTTGCGGCCGAAAAGAGTGCGCGAGTGTATGAGTGTGAGTGTGGGTCAGTGCGCGAGCGTTGTGAGTGTGTGAATGTGAACACGTGTGAGTGCGTAAACATGGTGATGACAATCGTGATGATGATGACGACGACGACGATGATGATGATGAGGATGATGATGAGGGTGATGCTGATGATGATGATGATGATGATGATGATGATGATGATGATCAGTATTAAGGTGATGCTGATGTTGATGCTGATGCTGATGCTGATGCTGATACTGATGCTGATGCTGATGCTGATGCTGATGATGATGCTGATGATGATGATGATGATAATGATGATAATGATGATGATGATGATGATGATGATGATGATGATGATGATGATGATGATGATGATGATGATGATGATGATGATGATGATGATGATGATGATGATGATGATGATGATGATGATGATGATGATGATGATGATGATGATGATGATGATGATGATGATGGTTGATGATGGTGAGCGCGCGTGGCGATGATGATGACGAGAGTGGATGGGTGTGGGAGGACTTGCTAGGGTGTCCAGAGAATTCGAAATAACGATCTGGACGTGGGGAAAAACTACACGAACAGAACCTTTCGAAGGCCCGCGCGGATTGCTTGGGTCGGCGCCAGCGCCGGACCGCGCGCCAGGGGCGGCGTCGGGGGCGCCGCCGCGGGGTCCAGCGCCGGCCCCCCCTCGTGCCCCGCGCGCCAAGGCCTAGCGAGGGCCCCCGAAGGCCAGGAGCGGTGACAAACCTGTCTCGATACTCCAAGACGTCGGAGGTCTGGGTAGGCCACTGCAGACCCTTGGAGGCTGCGCAGACGCCTGGAGGCTCTCTCCCAGGGAAGAAGCACACTGACAATGACCAAAACGTCGCGGGATCATGACGACGCTGATCTTGGTCATGGTTCATGCCGGCTGTCGCCGATACGCGATTATGATCCACGAATTGACGCTGACCACTGTGGACTGTGACCAACATCGGCACAACTTTTCCGTGTTTGGTGGTGGTCATGGTCCCCGTTTGATTCCCCTTCATCTCTGGAGGCCTCCGCGGTACTAAGTGGCCCACCATGGGGCGCTGGCCCACCCAGCAAGCCCCGCGCGCGTGTCCTTAGCAGGGACCGACCGTCCTGGCATTCCTCTTCTCATAACAAACGAGATGCACTAGGAACAAAAACCATGTTCTTGGAGCACGTTCTTGAAACAAGACTGCCTCAGTGAGAAATTGTATACGAACATGTCGCGCAAACCACAAAATGATCTTAGAACACTCTTGGTGTGCACATAGGCAGGTCAGGACGCTTCGCCAGTGCCCACGGCCTCGCTGTGGCTGAGGCGCAGCATCCCTGCCTCCGCGGCCTCGCCAGCGCGCATGTCCTGGGCGAGGGCGGTCGCAACGGCGGCCGCTGCGACGGCGACCGCCGCTGCGACGGCGGCGGCCACAGCTGCTACAACAGCAACGGCGGCGGCCGCTGCGACGGCGGCGGCCACGCCGCCGCGGCCACGGAGGCGGCGGCTGCGGCCACTGCAACAGCCACGGCCGCGGCCGCGGCGACGGCGGCGACCGCGGCGATGACGGCCGAGCGGCGCCAGCTCCAGCTTCGCGGCGGGCACGTCCCCACATGGGTCCCAGACATCCGATGTCTTGTGTTTCCCAACCATCATGTTGTTTTGGGTCCTCGCTTTGAAGAAGCAGTGCCCCGCCCGCGTCACCTCACCTCCTGCCCCTCCCCCTCCTGCCTCATCATCCCTGCCTCTGCTCGGCGCATGCACATGTCGGCGCGCCACTCACACGTTTCGTGGCCCCACAGGGACACATGCGTTCAAAATCGGTCCCCAAACCCCTCCTGGGGTACACTCGGGGCAGTTCAACCCTGGATCCGGTTTTTGATGGTTCCGGGGCCCAACAACGGCCCTCGGAGTCCGAAAAGACACAAACCAAAATTATGCGACCAGAGTGCCCCACATAAGGCTGAGGCGGGGCCGCCGCTGGACGGGTGGACGGGGCACGAAACCTAGGAGGCAGCACGGTATCTGAACGCCCTCGTCGCTCAGGGGAGGCATCTTTGGAGACACGGGAGGGCACGAAACTTACGAAATTTAACGAAAACGTTTTTGTCCAGCGCAATATTTTTGAAGAAGAAGGAGGGGCAAGCAGGAGGGGACGATAGCGGACAGCATGAACGGACTCGGTGCGCAGGCGAGTCTCGCCACTGCTTAGGAGAACTTTCTCCCAACAAAATGTGGCTGTTTTCCCGCCGACGGGGGCGCAGAGAAGCGGAGGAGGAGGAGGAGGAGGAGGAGGACACTGAGAAAGAAGACATTGGCGTTGCGCGTGCATCTCCCATGGCCCACCCGACCATTTATATAAGACAGCGCGGCACAACGACATTCAAAGAGCAGTGAGACAGTGCATGTCAAGTAAGATCCCGTGCAAGGTACAAGTGATAACAAAAACGCCCGGAATTCTATCACGCTGACGGGGGCAACCAGAGGAGGCGAGGGGAGGACAACCCTGCGGGTGTGGCGCGGAAAAAATGAGCCGCACCCTTCTAGCTTGAGAGTGCCTGCGCACGCAGGACAGCGCTGGGCACGAAAAGAATCTGCCAGCGGACACACCAGAAGCGGGAGAGAGAGGCCGGGGAAGAAGAACCGGACCGCCAGTTGGGTGTACACACTCGCCAACCAACATGCCACATGCAATGATAGGCCGCACGCGAGGCGGAGGAGGGGGAAGGCAAGGGGCGGAGCCCGGACGGAAGCAGTGCCCGGGGTCGGCCGACTGCGGCCCCCAACAGGCCACACGCACGGCACGTGCGAACGGCGGGCCCCTGCCCAGCCAATTCGGAAGGGGAGAAAGCCAAAGAGGGAGGGAGGGGAGGGGAAGGAGAGCTCCAGACGACCCTTGCACTGAGCCGAGCGCCCTCAACGCGGGCAAAACAAATTGCGAGGCGGAGCGATCCAGGAGGAGGGAGGGGAGCGAGGAGACGAGGGAGAGGGAGGGAGGGAGGAGGGGAGAAGGACCGCAACCGCCGAAAGCCACACTGATCAGCACGCACTCCGGCCGGGTCCCATTTATGGCGCCACGCAACCACCAGACGATTTAGCAGCGGTCGCCGAGAGCACGCTGCGCGGCCGCGTGCCCGCGGACCAGCTCGCGAACGGACTGGCGAAGAGCTTCGCACGCGGCGGCCCCGACTGTGCCCCCACTGTCCCCACCACTCTCCCCGCTGTACTACTGTCCCACCACCGTCCTCACCACTGTCCCGCTGTCCCCTCACCACTGTCCCCACCACCACCGTCCCCACCAGTGTCCGCACCACTGTCCCACTGTCCCCGCACCACTGTCCCCACCACCACCGTTCCCACCACTGTCCCAATATCTCCACCACTGTCCATTGTCCCGAAGAGCGGGAATCGTTTGCCAGCGGGGGGGGGGGTTCGAACCGGTAGTGACCCCCCCCGGTTTTCGAGGGGAGGCGGTTCGAACCGGTAGTGACCCCCCCCTTTTCATGATGAACTGGGGGGGGGTTCGAACCGGTAGTGACCCCCCTCCCGGTTTTCGAGGGGGTGGGGGTTCGAACCGGTAGTTCCCCCCCCCCTTTTTCATGATGGACTTGGGGGGGGACGGGTTGGGAACCCCGAGTGACCCCCCCCCGGTTTTCCGCCAGCAGCGGTAGAACACGCTCTTTCACAGATGTACACATTTACTGCATATACATACATATAAACAAGCATATGAAAAGAAGAAGAAGAAGAAAAAACAAAACAAACAAACGAAAACGAAACCAAAAAGCAATCAACCAAAACAAAAACAAAAACAGAAGAAAGCGATTGTTGTCAAGTCGCTGGTGGTCTGGATCCCACCTGCCACCCCTGGCCCACCAGGTGGGGCTCCCGATTGCCTGCCAGAGCAAGGCCGTTGAGGTTGGGGCCTCCTGACGTCACGGGTTTCGAAGTCCTCTAGGTTTTGAGGCGAGGCCCGCCGCGGCCTGCCTAGCAAACAAACCAGCACCGCACACAGGTCAACTCCAAAGATCTTCCTGGCCGGTCGGGGGGCCTGGGATGGATACGGCTGTCCGCTTCTCCGATTCGATGGGTTCGATGCCGCAAACATACTTGCACCGCGGAATTACACCCTGGCGGCAGAAGACCCTAAACAGCAGACTCGAACGGTAAAGAAACCCATGATGCTGCGCTGCACACTCTGGAGACCACAAGGAAAAGCAGGCGGGAGATACTGGAACCCATGCAAGAGACCTCACGGGACACTACAAGGGAGACCGTACGGCAGACCATGAAGGAGACCGTAAGGGAGACCAGAGAGGAGACCGTTAGGGAGACCAGAAAGGAGACCATAAGGAAGACCATAAGGGAGACCAGAAAGGAGACCACAAGGGAGATCACATGGGGGGGGGAGTTCACACAAGAGAGCCCGAGGGAGACCGTCAGGAAAACCACACGAGAAACCAGACGGGGCACCATACGGGAGACTATACAGTAGACCATATGGGCGACCATACGGGAGACAACATGCTCAGGTCCCCGGCTCCAGGACCGGCCAAGGACTCCCCGGCCCTGTCTACGAAACTCAGAGAAAGCCCTTACAGACAAGCCCCTTACAGACAAGCTGTGCAAAGAAAGTCTCGCTGCGGCACTTCTCGAGCCAGATCGAGCCACGAAGGCCCTGGGCCTGAAGCCGAGCGAGGGTGCCCGGTATGAAATGAGCGCGACGCTCAGACCGTTGCCCCGAGACATCCGACATCTTAATGTTTCCAATGTGGTGCCCAGTATCGCCAGGGCCAGCTTCTCATCCCGAGTCGTTTCTTGAAGGCACTGGGGCCTGGTGAAGCCTCCTGGATGCCGGAAGCAAAGAAAAACCTTCCGCCCCCATTTTTGCCCAAGACGTCGGTGTCTGGGCCTGCACCGCCGCTGGCGCCCCCCCCAAAGCACGAGCCATGTCCGTGGACAGCAGCACGACCTCCTCGCGCTCGGGGCCAGCGGCGCTGCTGGGCACCTCCCACCGCCCTCGCGCTGGGCCTCGCGAACGGGAACGAGAACGGGAACAGGAGCAAGAAGAAGAATGGCAAGAGGAGGATGATACTACATTGGGTAGGAAGGGTCAACCTATCTCATTAAGCAGCAGCCAGAAGCGCTGCAGCGTAGGCAGCCGCTTTGGCACAGGCACGTGGCGAAGCCCAGAGATCGAAGTGCATATGTTTGATGGCGTGGTACACGCCGTACAGGATATAAACTTTGATGCTCCGTTCCGCGACCCACTCGTGGGTCGGATAATAGTGCTGGTGGTGGTGATGGTGATGGTGATGGTGATGGTGATGGTGATGGTGATGGTGATGGTGATGGTGATGGTGATGGTGATGGTGATGGTGATGGTGATGGTGATGGTGATGATGATGATCATGAGGATGAGGAGGATGGGGACGACGACCGAGACCCTTATCGCAAGAATACCTACCGCGAATGATCGAAGCAAGGAGGTCGGCGGATGCGGCGTGAGCTCACGCGCTGAACACATCCTTTCCGATGACAGGGTTTTGGGCTGCTACTGTCGCTTCGCATGGCGCAAAATCTCACTCACTTATGCGTGTACGCTGACGCGTACTGTCGCTGCCCTGGAGGCGGTCCTGGCTGGCCTCAGCATGCACAGGGTTGGCCAGAGCGGGACTCCACGCCCAGCGCCGCCTCCAGCGGCGCACCCCGGGGCGCTCAGTGCCCCAGGCCTGTGGGGGAGGGCGAGACGCGCCGCTAGATCTCCCTGGGCGCACACTTCAAGGAGGGGGGAGACCGCCAAGGATGGAACAACGAGTTCGCTCTAGCCGTGGGGCGAAGAGATTCAAACACGTACACACACACACACACTTCGGCGGTAGCAGCCTCGCGCGCAGCGAGAAGGCGGAGCAATCTAAACACACACACACACACACACACACTGTTTGGCGTTGCGGCCTCGCGCTCAGCGACGAAGCGAAGAAAGCCAAGCCGAGAGAGGGACAGAGAGCGCGCGCGGCTGGCCCCTCAGAAGATGGGACAACCACATACCGCCCCTGGCCAGGCCTATCCTGGGCCGAGGAGCGGCGTGTACGCCCCCCTGGCTCGGCCTGTACACCGACCCTGAATCCACGATGGGCCCGGCCAGGGCGGTAGATGCGCGCAGATCTCTCGTCGCCCAGGTGCTGCTAGAAGTGCCCATGACCCCCAGCGCCCCCAGGATTTCAAAGGAGGCCCCCACGGCCTGGAGAGCACCCCTCACGAGGCCCAGAGGGCCCCAGGGGCTCCAAAATGGAGTGAAATGCTGGGGGCACCTTCGGCCAGGGGCACCTTTAGCAACCGACAGATCGGGGATGTATCGCCAATCGATGCCCCCCCCTTGAGCCGAGCCCGTCCCCCCTGACGTTCCCTTTCAGAAGAAGGAGGAGGAGGAGGAGACCTCTGGCGGCATCCACCGACGGCCAGGCCAGCCGCCCCCCTCGTCGGGCGATGTCAGCGGACCACCTCCAGTCTATCCTGGCATGGCCTCCCGGCCTCCCTGGGGCCCAGGATCGGTGCCTGCGCCCTCCTGGCCTGGCCTGCGAAGCGTGCACACCGATCCCGAGCCCAGGATGG